ATATATATGGATAACGAACGTCTCTATAGAAGAATATGAATAATGAATAGTCTGTAGAATCTGATCGAGCCCGTCTTCCTATTTGTAATCGAATTCATAGAGCTGCTATCTGTCCTATTTCCGCCTTTCCGATGAACGTTATTGAACAGTTTAATTGACTGTTTCATTGATACTAAACAGAAATGGGTAAAGCTGTTTAGAAGCAATCAGAGCTAATCATTCACAAAAAATATACATCATATTACAGTTAGCTATAGCTTTCACATTTATTCCTCCTAAAGATAATGTATGTCTATAAAATTTTCTCTCGCCCAAAAAAACTACGTGCCGCGAATCACTATCAAAGCTTTAACAGTACCGCCTATCTAGTTGATGTACTAATTTCTCATTAATTAATTATGAGCTTGAAACCAACCGTACCGGTTACTCATATGTCACCAGCTTAATCCTACACAGGCTGTGAAACGGAGTTCGATTTCTTCGTTGAAGGGTGTTGTTTTCTCTAAAAGTTCTATTTTTCGCAAATGCTAATATATGCCGGAACAGCAAATTTGGCGCCATTTTCTTGAAAGAAACTTGGCCAATCAGACATCACTGAAGTAATTGCCAGGCGGAACCGTTGCAAATGCAGACGATTCTTAATTCCATAGAGATACGCTGGGGCACAGGCTTCGTGCCCTCGGTAGTAGGATTAATTTATTATTGGCAATTTACACTAGCAAACAAATTACGTATCTCATACAGAGTGGAATCTGGGCTATACATTTTCCCGTGGATCGCTCCGTTCCGACTTAGCACGATAAGATCACGTGTTTCAAAACACATTATGAAAATTAGAATCGTGGTAAATTGATGAAAGCTTCGCCAGGGGTCATTGGAAACATTTTCAGCATTGACGTGAGAGCGTCACATCTTGCGACCTGCTGCTCGAAGCCCGCGTTCGAAGTCAGAGAATGCCATCGTATAAAAAGCTTCGCTTTTCTGCCAAAAAAAAACGTATACTATCAAAAGCTGATTGGTAAAACCCTACGCCAAATTATCGCCAATGGTGATAATAAAACGTTGCCTTGGTGGTAACACCAGTATATGTTAAATACATCTCGAGCTATCGCGACTACAACTTAAAGCAACACAGCGAAAAAATGGGTAGACAATAACCAG